TATATCGTCAGGTTTATTAGTTGGTAATTCACTATGCAACCTACCTTATGCTTCTTTAGCTTTTTTGCCAGAATGTTAAAGGTTAAAGAGATGTGGGGACACCAGGACCCTTGTTTAACTCACCAGAGATATCATCACCCCGTCTAACGCATGACAAACCTTATCGAAAGCTTTTGACAGGTCCATAAAACATTTCAGTTCCGTGATTTGCTTTGTGGGGGAACATCTGTGAAGAGTAATTGCCTCTAACACTCGAGCGCATCATTGAGAGAGCAATTGGTCTATAATTATTGATGCTACAGACACCACCATTTTTGTTCTTAACCACGGGAACAATATCTTTCATTAATGACTCAGAAACGAGTGGCTGAGGCATCCATATATATATATATATGTGTGTGTGTGTGTATGTGTGTGTGTGCGTGTGTGTGCGTGTTCAGAGAGAGAGAGAGAGAGAAGGTAGGATATACATATATACATATGACATTTATAACTCTCTGTCTCTCTTTTTCTTGCTCTCTCTCTATATATATTTTGTAGAGGTATAATTAAACTTCAAACTAAAAGCAACTTCTTGGAACCCTTTTCATCTGCTGTTGAACAAATGATAACCGGAACGATGCACAAGAACAACCGTGTGACGTCAGCAGTGTCACAGAACGAACTGAAAGATCATATATAAAGCGACCCAGACCTGTATACGTCAGTTGCCATTGGATTAGCATCAGAGTAACGTGCGGAAGAAACCCTCTTCTCTTTCAATATGAAGTAAGTTTTATACGGAAAATCTTAGTACTTTTTTCCGGCAAAGATTTAGCATCTTGTGCCGAGCAGTATTTCCTAATAGCAGAGATATCATATGTAGCATATGATGGTATGTTTACTAAATACAATATCGTTCCTAGGGTGGCACTGATCCTGGTCCTGGTGGCCGTCGTTGGCCTCTCCTCTGCCTACTCCCTCGGCGACGTCTACGAGACACTCCAGCGTGTTGAGAGGTGAGCTTGCAGGCAAGATCTGCTATGCAAGATATTGCAAGGTTAGCAGTGAGTTTCAGCTAGATCAAATGATATCACAGTCTTCACAGTGCTATAGGTATGACGAATACTCTGAATATAAAACTGCATTTATATATGTAATTCTTAGGCCATCCTTCTCCTTTTGAAAAACAGAAATAGAGATAGAAAATTGACTTAATTACACGAAGAAAGAAAGAATCTACAAGTCCGATTAGCTATTGTTCTTTCTGGCTATGAAGTGTTTTCCTTTCCAACAGGGACATGAGCTCGGGGAGCACCGGGATGAGCACGAGCATGTCCTTGGAGAGCAGAGAGAAACGGTTAGATATCGCAAGTTTTTTTTTTCCTATTAGATACCTTGATTCCTAATATTAAGGGTTTTTAAAAGCGTATTGTAACGGGACTTCCCTCTGCGATGTCTACGAGAAGCTTTATCGAGGTGAGAGGTGAGCTTGCTTATACTATGTACTATGCGAGAGGAAAATAGTAGAGAGTGCAAGGTTGGTAATAAGATTTAACTAGATTAAGTGATATCCAAATGTTTTCTTTATTAGGAGGAGGACTCTGAATATAGAACCGTATCCCTAATTTTATTCCAAGATCCTCCTCCTTTTGGCAAAAGAAAAGGAGGAGAAGGGATAAGATATGTTTCTTTTTATGCTAAGAAAGATCTTTATTAAGTCTGGTTAACTCTTGTACTTCCTGGCTATCAATATCTTTGTTTTGTCTTTGTTTTGTCAGAGACATCAGCAGTGGGAGTACCGGGACGAGTTCCTTGGAAAGCAGGGAGAGACGGTAAGTGACTGAGAGTGATCTTGCCCCGTAGAATCACCTATACTCACATGCCTATAACTGGAATTCAAGTCAATTATGCCAATGTGTGTAAACGTTTTTAACCTTTTCTTCAGTGATGCCTTCGCCGTCTCTCACGACCTTGATCTGAGGCGCCTCAGGAGGTGAGTCAAAGGCAGGCGTTGAGGAATGTGTGTTGGTGTAGACAATGTTTTTTAAACATTCTTTTTTTTTAAGTACTGAAATACAAATGAATTTTTGTTTTATGTTCAGGGTATGTAGGATATACATATGATATTTATACATATATATATACATACACACACACACACAAGCGCGCGCGCACCACACATACACAAACATATGTGCATATATACAAACACATACATGTATATATACATACACACACATGTATAAAAATATATATATATACACAGATACAAACACATAATCATTGATCATTAACTTGTTTATCATTCATTCCCTTCCGCCCACGCCGCCCAGACGCGCCAGCCCCGACAGCAGCAGTTCCGAGAGCAACAGTGCCAGCTCGGAGGAAATGACAACTACGGCTCCTTGAAAACCGACTCGGATAAGACGGCGCTGACCTTCGGCAAACGACCTGACCACCATTTGGCTCTCCTGATTTGAATAGGGATATTTCGAATATTCAAAATTCTTTAAAAGTTTCTTCAGAAACATATGTCATTAGCAAACGAAA